CACAACTATCATCACCATCATCATCCTCGTCATCATCACAACCACCATCATCATCCTCATCATCATCATCACAACCACCATCACGATCATCATCAAAACTCGCCATAGATATCCTTATCATTCCACTTGACGAAAACTTTGTAGGTTCCGGTTTCAATCGGAGTGTAAGTGACTTTCGTCGATCCGTTCTCCGTCTCCTCGATCCGGGTGACGGCCAGCGTGTGTGGTCCTTTTCAATTTTGATAATTTTTTTTGCATATTTTTTTCTATTTAATAAAGTTTTTTTTGAAAATTTATCTAATTCACGATGATGCATTCATTCATTTCACCGAACAGTCGAACTCGCTAATCTCACCAACCAATCATCAACCAATTACCAACCAATCATCAACCAACTAAATTCAGAAGCGCACCTTGAACGTCGACCTTGAGGTTGCCGTAATGACCTCTGGTGTCCAAGGTGAAGGTCGCTGGAGAATTTTCGATGGCGTTTTCAAGACCCTCTCCGTGAGCGGTCGGCATGAAGCTGTCGATGATTTGCTGGTGGAAGGGCGATCCTGATTGGCCGAATTTTAAAATGTTGAAGAGGTCAGTGAATTTTGATTGGATGAAAATAAAGAAAGGGAGTCTCTTAAAATTTGATTAGCGTCAGCCGGTATTGATACTTTGATATTGTATAATTATAACTGAAAATTCACAAATGGACAGACCTGGAACGTCAACACATCCATATTGAATGGAAATGACATGAAGCCCCGCCTCCTTTGGAATGTAGGTTACTCTCTGACCGTAAGAAACGATCTGATTGGTCATCGGAAGGCTGACGTTTCTTCCATTGGTTATTTTTATGTCCAATGGCGCAGAGCCCGCTTTTGATAGGACAACTGCAGAAAAATGGAGTAGAATTATTTATAAAATATACTAAGCGATTTTAAAAACTTAAAATTTATATAAGAATTGAATTGAATGAATTAATTAGTTAATTAATTAAAAAATGAATGAATGTATAAATGAATTAAATGAATGAATGAATGAATGAATGAAAGAATGAACGAACGAACAAACGAATAAATCCCAAAAAATACCATCAAAAGATACGGGCTGATCGACAACTCCAGAATTTTGGATTTCAGCGACAACTTTGCAAGCGTCGAAGATATCATAGATGAGTGGACTGCCAGAGACCGCCTTGCCACAATATGATACGTCCAGTTTTGCTGGACCTGTGTGGGCGTGTGAATGTGTGTGCATGTGTGTGTTTGCGTGTGAGTGTGCGTGTGAGTGTGTGCGTGTGTGTGCGTGCTAACCAGTACAGTTTGGCGTGAATGTTATTTTGTTAGTTCCATCTAGTTCCGAAGTTAAAGTAGTCACCAGTAGCTCGCTACTTGCTCCTGGTAATGATGATGGTGATGATGATGACGATGATGGTGATGATGACGATGATGGTGATGATGACGATGATGGTGATGATGACGATGATAGTGATAATGACAATTATGATGATGATGGTGATGATGAAAATGATATAATGTAGCTGGTTTTAATTCACGTAAATAAAAAAATTATGATGATATCGCTATTGTCGTCACCACTACCACCACTATCATCATAATCATCATCACCATCATCATCACCATCATCATCACCATCATCATCGCCATCATCATAATTATCATAACCAAACAACCTCGAGCCTCGGCTTTTATATCGGCCAAATTCAGCATGAAACCATCTGATAGAAGCAGAGCTGTGATTGGCTGACCGAGTGGCCCAATTTTATCCGGGGTGGTCCTGGATAGCGTCATCTTATTGGCTGGGTTGATGACTTGGAAGGTCAGGGGTGATCCTAAAAATTGGGTCAGTGAAAAGAAATCAGTTAGTGGTCGATAGAAATAATAATTATTCAACTATCTCTCTAAAATCATTTCGAAAATCATTCGTGCCCCTGTCGACCGACCTTGAACCGGTTCCGAGCAGAACTTAACAGTAGCAACATGCGGTTTCGGTTGAACCGGCATGAACGAGTACTTGACAATCCTGTCCCCAATCTGAGCCGCCCTCGTGATCACCTCAGCTTCTCCACAAATAACTTTAACTTCGACATAACCGTCACCGGCTCGGCTCGAATCGACGGTAAAACACGATTCTCTGCCGAGTTGATTATCGATATTCGCGTCGGTAATGACAACTTTAGCAGCATTGTAAACGTTGCAAATGTGAGGCGAGCCGACGATTGTCGTGCCGCCGAACTTGAGGTCGATCGTGTGTGGACCGATCATCGTCGGTTGGAATTCTATTCGGAAGCATTCAGTCTGTCGGTCGATTCTTGTGGCAAGTTCGCGGCCATTCGGATCTAAGGATGAATGGAGGGAGAGTAAAATCGTAAATAAAGGAATAAAACATTTTAATATAAATAAAAAACAAAAATAACATGACGACATTAATAAAAATAATAATATAGATAATAATAGAAAACAAAGGCCGTCACCTCGAACTCTGCAGATGGCAGACATGAGGTCATTTCCTGGCACGTTGATGAGCGAGGTCATGTTGACCTCTCCGAGAACAAGGTCAAAGGTCACGGCTCTGTTGACGGGCATGTGACAGACTGAATCCCAGTTGACGTGCATATTCTTCGGGTCGATGAACTTTACGGAAAATGGCGAACCTTCGATAGTTCGTGGTGGTTGGGGGTGGTGTTTGTAAGTGAGCTGATTGGTCGGCTAATATAACAGTTTGATTGATAGTTTAATTGACAAATCGTAAACTCGTTCAACCACTCCATCCAGCCAATCAAGACAACCAATCATTCTGTTTAGCTAATCAAAACAACCAACCATTTCATCCAGCCAATCAAAACAACCGATCATCCCAACCGGCCAATCCGAGCAAACGATCACAACCAACCAGAACAATTCTCTCCTAAATAGGTCACAGCAACGTTGTGGGAGACATTTTCGCTGGCCACAAAGTTCACCGTGTAGACGCCCCTCGATGACGTCACTTGCGTAATTGGCTTCGTCAGATGACCTTTGACCTCGACATCGAGATGACCCGTCAGGCAACCGCATTTCGTCGTATCCACTGCGAACAAGTTTGTTTTCAATTATGTGTAACGCTATGATTCATAATGGTTGAGAATTTTTCTCCCTCCCTCACCGACAAAAACAACGCCTATTCACACGCCACAGTTACACGCCACAAACACACCTTCGAAGCAATATTGCTTGCCGACAACCCCATAACTACAGCATGAGATCTTGATAGCATTGGAATCGAAGGCATCAACATTGTAGGGACTGCCTTGGATGAACGATCCGGCATATGTCAGGGCTATCTTGTGGCAGCCTGTGAGAAATATTCATTCGTTCATTCATTCGTTCATTCATTCGTTCGTTCATTCAATCGTTCATTCATTCGTTCGTTCATTCAATCGTTCGTTCGTTCGTTCGTTCATTCGTTCGTTCATTCATTCATCAATCAATCGATCGATCGACGAACCGGCATCTTTAGGAACGTATTCCACGTGATATGACGTAGGACCGGTTGACGTCACTTTACACGGAAGGAACTGCCCTTTTGCATCTAATTGATATGCAAATTTGGAGGAGTCATTAAGTAATTATGCTAATTAGAAGTTATTTTGATAAGAAATTATGTTAATTATACGAGCTAATAATTTTTATACTGGCCTCCCACGTCAAATAACTCACTTTTTATCTAATTAATATGCAAATTGAGAAATCGGTAGGAGGAGTTATCGGTAAAATTATCATACTAATTAACATAATAAATATTTCATTATAGTGTGAGAGTCGTACTCGTTATATGCGCCTCGAGTTTCGCGTTTATGTTTGGTGGATTGTTCGTGATGACATCAAAGGACGCGACGGCATTGACCTGCGTAATTTAAATAATCATAAATAAATAATAATAAATAAATAATAATAAATAAATAATAATAAATAAATAATAATAATAAATAATAATAAACATTATTATTATTATTATTTTGTTACCTTGGCCAATTCTAAGCCGTGACCGGCTGCTGTAGCTTTCGATCCATCAATCACCAGAACGTGGAGTGGACTTCCTAATGATGACGATGATGAAGAGGATGATGATGAAGAGGATGATAATGGTGGTAAAGAAGATGATGATGGTGATAAAGAAGACGATGATAATAATGATGATGGTGATGAAATTGAAGAGGAAGAAAATGATGATCATGATTGTGATGGTGATGAAATTGAAGAGGAAGAAAATGATGATGACGACGACGACGATGATGATGACAAACCTGGAACCTCTTCGCCATTGAACTTGACGCAGACATCGTGACTGTGGCAGACTTGCGGGGTGAAACTGACGTCATACAAGCAGGAAGACATGCCTATAACGGTCGGTAATGATGACGATGTTGATGATGATGATGTTGATGATGATGTTGACGATGACAATGACATTAAGAGCAACATCAACAAACTTTTAACAACACAGGGAACAGCCAGCCCGTCAGCCGTAACGACAACATCCAATGCTCCCACACCGGCTTGGCCTGTGTTCACTGTAATAATGATGACGACGGTGGTGATGATAACGTTGGCTGAAACTTTTCACGAATCAAATAACAAAACATTCTAAAAATAACCAACCAGTGAAATGCGAAGCCTTATTAACAGCCCCATTTCCGGCCGGGGTTAGCTGAACCAAAGACGCATTATAAGCCTTGCAGACGAACGGACAGCACGAAATCATCTCCCCGAAATACGTCACCTCGATCACGTGATCGCCAATTTTTAAGGGGATAAATTCAACGGTGTATTGGTCATGGTTCTCTATGACCCGGGGCACGATGTCCTTATAATCTGGTCCGGTCACTTTGACGTGGACGTCGCGGCCACTGGCGGCCGGGGCGCGGAAGTGGAAGGTGGTTGGCTGGTTGCAGGGCACCAGTGAATTGTTTTCACCCTTGTTGAAGGTCACTTTGAGGGGTCAAT